TTAAGACACTTGTATCAATGGTGGATGTCATCATTATATAAATGGTATAACAACAGCAAAGAACATCATTTTTTTGGATTTAAGAGACTTTAGCTACCAAGGACTTCAGGAGCAGGCAATCACTATCAATCAGTCAATGAAATTTATTGTACAATAAAAGAGAGCATATTATGTATTTTTCACAAACTATTCCAATCCAAATACAACCTCCCTCAGTCTCTAAAGTTTGGCATCCTCATACTTTTTAGAGTTTACATTGCTGTACCATGGGAGGAGGTGACATCAATCCAAATGAAATCAGCCATTTTTCATACATGCAACAATTAAATGTCATGCAGATCCTTCAGTAAGAGAAACAAAGGTACAAAATAGCCAAAAAGCTGCTGTAAATCTTATTGATCACGGCACAGATTTAAGTACCTGGTATATTACTGAAATCAATCAAGCTTAAAAGAGCTTGAATTTGGCTGGATTGCTATATCCTAAAATCCAGATACAATCTTTTTTCATCTAAACATTTCCCCACATTGGGAACACAGTAGACTGTTAGACAATGTGTGGTATCAGAAAAATACTTTTTAAAAAGTGTGCTATTGGAAAATTACTTTAAAAAACAAACAAAACAAATCAGGAAGATACAACCAGGCTTGGTGTGCTTATTCCTTCCTAAGAGGAAGTTCTGTGAAGATCTATCACAAATATTGATTGTTATAAAAAAAAAAAATTAAATAGGAGAGTTTAAAAAGAATATCATTCTTTTTCCAATTTTGCTAAAACAGTATGCTTTGAGATGTTTGAACAGAAAGCGGTAGGCATGGAAAGGAATATAAGCTAACACAATTTGATTCCCATTCTTCCTATTCTGAAATTTGCAAAGTAATCTGGAGATAAAATAAAATGACGAATTGCTGTCTCCTTCTAACCGTCTTGCTTTCTTTTGCATTTTCCACATTCTAAAAATCTCCCCAGTTCATGACACTAGGAAAGAAATTGACTTCAATTCCAAGCAGGTTACAGATGACATCCTGAGGATGTGGAAGGTTGTACTATGGTGGGATTCCAATGCCTCTATTTAAAAATTTTGCATTAATAAGGAAGTACCTTTATCTCCCATGGATTTATATTTCCATCTACTGTATTTATATCTCACTAACACGACTTTCGGCCTCTAATGGGAATTTTAAAAGAGTACAATATAAATTCAATATCCAAAATACATATCAAAAGAAAAGAAAACCAGCTGAGGCTGCCAAAGAGGTTACATCAACAACCCTCATCCCTGAGAAAACAGCCGGGTCTTCAAGGCTTTCTAAAAAGTGAACGGGGTTAGAGACGGGAAATAGCCTGACTGGAAAAGAATGGATTTGGCCATTCTGTGTTTTGAGCAACTTCCTTCCAATGCAGGATGTTTTCCCCTTCTTTGCTGCTTCCTCATTATATGCTCTTGTTGGTGTGTTGCTCTGAGACTTGCTAATGGCTGTGCTTGTACCTCCTTGACAAGGATTCCCTTAGCTGTTAAAGAGATTCAATTGATGCTCTCCTCTCTGTAATCTGATCTGCTGTCTTTCCCATCCTTTGGTGCTTATTACTTCTGATGTGAAGGGAGTAAGTACTTTAATCCCATCACCAGAGCCATTTGTTGAGAATATTTTTTTCCTCCCTCTCTCATCTTCTGAATTGTACAATTTAACATATTAATGTGTTGAGGAAAAAAAAAAAATCCAGACAGTTTCCTTTAGGGATTATACAGAAGGAAATGCTGAGATACACGGCGCTTTAATGATCCATCTTGATCTGAGCATATTGATAAAAAAAAAAAAGAAGAAGTAGAAGAAGCCTTTTAGGAATGAATTTACAAGCTGCGCGGGAGAATTGCAGCTCTGTAATTATAAAGTAGCCTTAAGGCTTTGGAGTAATTAAGGGAGGAGTCAGATTTCCCTAATGAGACTCTTATTGCTTTACAGTAAGCTGTGTCCAGCTCACCTTGATTGGGGAGAAAATAAACAGTATCAAAATCAACGTAGCTGTTTTCCGGAATCCCAGATGGGAAGCCACTGTCAGATCAGAATACCTTTTGCCTCCTTCAGCACAACTCTTCCTAGACTCTTAGGCGTTTTCAATCATAAAGAAGTCAGAGATACCTCCAGGTCATCTACAGGGGTTCACCTTTGCCCTCACCCCAATTTCAACCCCTGTGTCTTAAAACTGACCTTAAGCAATGTAATATAGTGGAAGAGTTCACTCTATTACTCTGCAAAGAGCTAAGTTGATGAAACTGGTGAGGTGCCAAAAGCCCCCATTATCCCCGACTGACAACAGCTTTGCTCAGACTTTACAAAACATTTGTCAGCCAGTGAAGCCAGGTCATTCTTTTGCTGCCAGATTTTAGTTTGAATGGGAAGAGGATTTGGGTCTTTCAAAACATTTCTTTTCCATCCCGGTAGAATATTTCTTAAGATTCTCTCTGAAATTCTGGGGGTAATTTTATAGAACAAAAGGCCTCCAAGATACCCAAGATACTCGAAACATCTAACAAGTAGCACATATTATTTTCTTGCCTCACACCTGCATGAAGTGGGTGAATAAATTAGGAATAATTGTCAGAATGGTGTGTTGTGTCATTACTGTAACTGTATTGCAGGGAGTATGATGCCCCCAAGAAAGATGTTGTGTGTTTTGGGACAGATTCGCTCTGACAAATCAAAGACAACTCAACCCCATTTCCTCTCTCCCTGACCTCCTTGTGTTAAGAAGGCTACCATACATATCCACATATCATTCATTCATTCATTCATTCATTCATTCATTCATTCATTCATTCAATCAATCAATCAGAATAGAGCTGGAATTTTCACAATACTGTGAAATAATATATCGGAATCTTGAAAAAGCACAGGATTTAATCACACAGGAAATACAGTATGTCGGTATTCAAGTGCACATGACTAAATCCTTCTTTAAACAGTGTTACAATTAAAAAAGAAAAACAGTCACATATTGCCTGTCAGCTTAATCAGTTTTTACCTCAAAAATATGTACCTGGATTCTGGGGCATAACCCAGTGTATGACAAGATGGATTCAAGGCCGTTTACCTAGATTTCTGATATAGATTTCCAGTCAGACAGCAATAGCAATAGCACCTAAACTTATATACCACTTCATAATGCTTTATAGCACTTTTTAAGCAGTTTACAGAGTCAGCATATTGCCCCCAACAATCTGGGTCCTCATTTTGCTGACCTTGGAAGGATGGAAGGCTGAGTCAATCAAAGTCAAAATAGAGCTGGAAGGGACCTGTGAGGTCTTCTAGTCCAGCCCCCTGCCCATGTAGGAGACCCTATGTACCATATCAGACAAGTGCATGGGATCCCTTCCCCCCCCCCGAAGCCAATCAAAGGCTAACTTTAGCAGATGCAAAATGCAGCTAGACCCGTGGAGTGTGCACGTGTGAGAAACCTCACCCTTTTCCTGGACCCATCTGGTGCCAGTTGTGGGAAGCCCACCCAAGACACTGATCCGCTGAGCAAAGGCAGAGCGTGCAAAGAGTCATACTTGAGCTGGTCAGGATTGAACTCCTAGCAGTGAGCAGAGTTTGCTTGCAATTCTAACCACTGTATCACCAGATTCATATTAAACTGGCTTATCATTTCAGCAGTGTTGGTGTCATTATGTGCATTTTGTCACTTACCCCGTTCTCAAAATCTGTTTTTCTTGCTTCCCCGTGGATGCTTGCAGCTAAATTCCAAATTTTACTTGAAGAGAAATATAATTCATCTAAAGATAGATACCATAGAGGTGTTTCTATGAAGATATTCACCTCAAGTATAGCTACTAGAGGAAAACTACAATTGCTACTAAACCCTTTAAAACCAAAATCTTTTTTGATTTCAATGGCAGAAGCATCTACAATCTCAATTGCTGACCTATCATCATTATTAGGTTCATATTTAGTTAACTCTAAATATATAGCTCATATTCTCTCATTATTTTGAGATATTCTGAATGTTCCCTTTCTCCAGGGAATTTCATCCAACTAGTGAGGAACATATAATTATCTAACAGCATATATAGAACAGGGAAAGATTATAGACTGAAATTGATCTATCAAAGTCTATCTGATTATCTCCAGGGATAAAATACTGAGGTAATCCTTAATGTTATGAAGGTTTCCAGAGATACAACTGTAGTGATAATTGCAGTTCCTGCAACCATAACAGTATAATTTCAGACATCACAATTACAAGAATTATTACTACAAATTTCAGATATTATCTGTAAAATTAAAATTCAAAGTTTCTTCTTATTTGTGCAGCTCCTCAATCTGGATATGTGATTATGGGGAGGTTTTTCCATGCATATTCATTAGATTCTGTCTAATAAAAAGTTAAGGAACTGTGCCTTTAAAAAAAAAAAAAACTTGCCCCATACTGTCATTTAGAAGTATATACAAACGTAATTATAAGAAAGTGTTTCCAGTGATGAATTATTCCTTCTGAGATAAATGTGTGTTTTAAGCAACAAAAAGAAACTATCAGAAAAGGAATAATGGCATCTTGTCACCTGTCTGGCTATGATCTATGTTTTTAATTTTCAGTATTTATCCCCGCTTACTATCTGGAAAGGTTAGAATACCAAATAATAATAATTATATTTCAGCTGCCAGAGAATAGGCAGTTTCCCAAACGTAGCTACTTATTTATTTTTTAAATAATCAGCTTCGTCATTTGCCGTTAAGTACTGTGGTACATAACAATGTTACATGAGCTTCAATGTTTCATTAAATAGTAAAATCCAATTCTTTGTCCAAACCTATGGTCAGGTCTTATTATGTATGTCAATCATAGTACAAATAATTTTCAGCAGTGAATAAATCCTGAATTTGCGACCTATTTTTATCACAACCATTACATCTTAAGCAACACTTATTAATTTTCATTTTTGGAGATATTGAATCTAAATGTAACTGTCAATGTTTGTAATTAAATCTGCAGTCCCTTACCTTCAAAAAGGAGGCATACTAAGTGTCAACTCTCAGTGAAGGAATGTTCTGCTAGAAGATCTTTGCAAAGTACAATGTCAAGGTTTACTCTCAGAGTAGCTTTATGTCTTGTCAGCTCCAACTATTCAAAGAACTGTGGAAATTAAGTATAAATGCACTGTGTATATGTGTAAATATCTAAGACAGTAGAAATAATGTTGCAAGATGTGCTCAGCAGTAAGTACTCTAGTAAATAGATATTATAAGATATGCCCTGGGAAAAAAAATGGAGGCAGTACCTTCAGTCCATTTAAGGTAAGGGCTGCTTACCTAATAGGTAGAGCAAATATAATTGAGAAGGAGAGCTTCACATCACAGAAGGATCCATTCTATCTGTAGTTCTCTTAGAGATTACATCAAAACAAAAACATGTCGACAAAAGATTTATCTTGGTGATCTAATGGAAAAAAGATCACTACAAAACAAACGACCCAGGAGATTACAGCACAAGATCCAGGATATCTCCACGACAAAACTCACAAGGCCATCACACAGCCCATTATACCAAATCAACTCCATCAACCAATCAAGAGGCAGCAGCGCAGCCAACCAGCCCAGCACACCAGCCCCCACCACCAGTATTTATAGAGAGACGGCAGCTCCGATCACACACTGCTTGCACTGGCACAAAGCCGAAAGCACCAGCCTGAGGATGGTGAGTGGGACCTCGCTGAAACGTTGCCAAGATACTCTTAATCTTACATGGGAAAAGACCCGAACACACCTACATATATATATATTCTTTTTTCCTTCTTATTTAACATTTATTAATTATAATAATATAGTACAGATTTTTAAAATCATAATTAGGAATAGAAAATTGTAACATCAAGCACAGCAAGTATCAAAATTTAAGGGAAAGGAGTGAAGTTAATGTACTGAATGTATGAATTTACTGAGTCATAAGTAAATTCTGGATGTGATCAACAGCGAATAAATCTTTTTGTCAGTCGTGCACAGGCATCAGTATGAACCATTGGTTTACTTGCTACATTATACTTACCAGTCAGGCACTATAAAATATTCTTTGCAAAATTACTACCAGTTTCATTTAGCAGGTCATATTTGCAAGTCTACATAGGATTGCAGTATTAAAGAGCAGTTGTCTGGCTTCTCAAGTAGGCAGCTTAGGAACAAGATGTGTGATGAGAACTTTCTCTCTATTGACAGGATTGGTTAACTATTAGCAAGATGAAAAGTCTGCTCTCCAGGGTCTTCTGGTATAGTAGCAGAAAACTCTTATTGGAGATGTTCCTGGAGGGGTCGAGTAGGGACAAAACAGAAGAGGCTGTGCTTTCTTAAAACAAGTACACGCTGGGAAGCCAGACTCCATTTCCTTGGAGCATTTGGAGAAGGCAGAAGCACAAAGAAGAATCCATCTTAATATACGGCACATGGTCATCCAAGGGCAAGCCCACATCCCACTCACAGAGCATCACTGGTGAGATTTAGATTGTTTGTATTTATTGTTATGATCAGCAGTAACTCAATATTGTCTATCTTGTATTTGGTTTTCACTGTATGTATCCCTATTTCCCCAGTTTCACCATATCCTGTTCTTTCAATAAAATATTCGGCTCTACGCACATGGTCTATTTTATTGGAGGATAGGTGGGTTTAGCTGCATGTCGAACTGCACACAGACTAACAAGTAGTGAGGACAGAACACGTATCCTTTTAAAGATTTCTATATTAATTGATTTGCAACTTTCAGCATGATCACTTTTTCCTTCATAATAAATATGATTTCCATGGCCAGTGTTGTGCTGAAATTTGTCTTCTATTTTGTAGCGTTTTCTTCTTCCTGAAAAAAAGTTTTTATTTTTCTATCTTAGACTCCGTGCATTTACTATATAAGATGTTTCTGTCATTTGCTCGCTCCATCTTGACTCTAAACAGCCTTGAGTCAATCCTGTCTAGACTTGCTTTGGCAACACATTGCAAAGTTCAGTCTAGATATACTAGTAATTGCCTCTTCCCATTGGACCATTCCCTGCTGCTATGCCCTTCCACCATTATCTGTCACATTTGCAATGGTCAAATCACATTCTATACTGGGGATGAGTCTGCTGGACTCTATAATTTTATATGTGTGTGATATATACTAGATTTTTTTTTTTAAAAAAAGTCCAGGGATACCTTATTTTTTCAGCCACCTGAAATAGAACAGTTTGATTTCTAACTCCCAAACAGATCATAGATTATTTTATTTGGAGTAAAATAAAATCTCCAGCAACTGGAAAAGTGTTAAAATAGCAATAGCAATAGCACTTAGACTTGTATACCGCTTTATAGTGCTTTACAGCCCTCTCAAAGTGGTTTACAGAGTCAGCATATTGTCCCCAACAATTTGGGTCCTCATTTTACCCACCTTGGAAGGATGGAAAACCTTCAGCCTGGGGGAATTCAATCTGCCAAATTGTAGTAGGAGTAGCTTGCAGTACTGCACTCTAACCACTGCGCCACCGAGGCTCCTCAAAATACTTGTTCATTATAACTGTTTTTAATCAGGGCAACCTGGTCTACCCAAATATGGGATGGAACATACTGCTTCTGCTTTTGCCTTTCAGCCCCAATCCAGAAGACTTCACAGGCAGTTGCTTTCACAACAAACTATTTTATTTTATTCATTTTAAGTACAGGGAAAAGTAGGAAGGGAGGTGAATGGCAATGAAAACATTCTACTGAGTTTTGAATATATAAACTTCAAATATGCAATTTGGCCTTCAGAAAGAGTATTACGATCTCTACCAATTATCATGATTTCAAAGAGGTAGCTCTGGGCATGGTTGGTGTCATGAGGATGTTTTCTCTACCTTTTAAACTTCTAATATGGCAGTATTCCTTTTAATTCTGTTTTTAACTTTGTTCTTATTCATGCTTTTATATTCCAACATGTTTTTATTGTCCAAAGTCACTTACATGAGTGGGGCACTACAGACATGAGATGAATTCAATCAATTAATCAATCAATAAAAGTTTGCAAGGTAGGAAATGTAGCTATTATGTTATTTATTGTATTCAAAGTTAGATTAGTTTGTAACAAATGGAAACATGCTGTCCTCGTCAGACGAGAGCATTCAAGGCAACTTAGCAAGGAAAAATATACTTTAGAAATTGACCAAAGAAACATTCCCTAAGTTTGGTCTGAAGGTAATTGGGGATTAGTAGAAGCTGGTTTCATATGTTTTTGTCCTCCAGAAGTGGTTGCCTGTCTGTCCTGCAATAGAACACCTGAAGAGTGATGATAAATCATTAGAGAATTTGGAATTTTCTCATTTGAAGAACCTCAGTGGAAGGAATTATCCCTAGCTTGGTAAGGATACCTGTTCACTATACAGCTATTTATTTTCAAAGGAAAGTCTTCAAAGGAGACAGTGTGTTCCTGCATAGCCACTCCATTCTACAGACAGAAAATCCCTCCCATCTATTTTTCTGCTGTAAATATAACACCGTCCCTTTGTAATCACAACAACCTGACTGGGTGGGCGGAATGAGACAAGTGAATACATTTTTGCACCTGGCTGAGGATTTTACAGCTGCTCTCTGTAAGATAGAGGTGAAAGTGACAAAATGAATTTATCTATCAATGTATCTATCAATGTATCTATCAATGTATCTATCTATCTATCTATCTATCTATCTATCTATCTATCTATCTATCTATCTATCTATCTATCTATCTATCT